CTGTAGCAAAAAAAAAGAGGAAAACACTTTAAAAAGTTCTCAATTTTTACTCTCAGCCTTTTTGTCAGAAAAAAATTTCATATTTGAACGACTCTTATTCGGGTTTGACGCAGATATTGAATTTTTTTGTATTACCAATATAGTTACTTGAAATGCTTCTATTATTTTAATATTTTAGATTATTACGTATACGCACAAAAATTGACCATGGTAAAATGATCAAACGAAGAAGGTTGTGAGTCGGGCGCAATAGATCATTACATAATTGAATTTAATATAAAATCCATTTATATTAAGTAAATATATCACCCATTGGTAAAAACAAAAAAATGGAGGCGCATTTACTTTTGTCCTTTTTTTTGTCCTTTTTTAAATTTTTTTGTCCTCTTTTTCCCTGTTTTTTTGGCTTTTCTGTCCGGTTTTTCAAGCTGAGTGATGGCAGCACTGACCCAGGAAGCTTTAGTTGTTCGAGCTGGCAAAAGTGGCTATTTTCGTATAAAAATAACTTTTAAACGTGACTTTTTACAGTAATGTGTTATATACCAAAATTTAAGGAATCTCAAGGGCTATACAGTTTAAAGTTTTCAAGAAAATCGTTAGAGCCGTTTTTGAGAAAAATAAAAAAAAGCTAAAAAAAAAAATTTTAAAAAAATTGTCTTTTGTTCATATCTTTTTAATTATTACATTTACACAAATTGCATATAGCACAAGTCTGTAGCTTTAGTAGTATAGAAGTTACGGTTTTCCGAATTTTAGCTATTTATAGCTGTTTTCCCGCTAAACTAGCGAGTTTTTCCAAAAGTGGTAGAACAAAAGTTTTTTATATCGATGGGATGAACGTCATATTACATTTTCAAAACTTAAGAAACATGTTTTGGACAAACTGACAAACTGACAAACTGACAAACTGACAAACTGACAAACAGAATTAAATTTTCATTTTGGGAAGAAGAAGGAAATCTTATTTTGGCTATAACTTTTGAACGGAGCGTCGGATTTTGACAAATGACCCCTCATTCGACGGGTATTTTCAAAAGGAATACAACTAAAACATTGCGAGGGGGAATTTATCTCCACCGGCCCCAACAGCTCCAAATTTCGAAATTTTCATTTTTTCACTTTCACCGCTCTCTCTCCCAAGCCAATTGATTTTCTTAAAGTCTTGGTATGCAATCCTTTAAGTTATTGCAATACCTTTCGATTGGTGTATTACTCATTACGATCGGACTATCACAGCAGATTTTCAATTTTGCGGCTATATAATAGTAGTCGCCTTCGCACACTCTCCTGGTGCGCTTCGTCACTACATGGACTGCCGTCCATAGTGATCATTTCTATCATGCATTTCAACTTTATTTTTAATTTCTTTGCAGTTTTTGGGAATGACTTACAAGTTCTTTTGCGCTATTAGAACATTGTGCCAGTAAATTAATGGAAATAAGCATAGTAGTGCAAAAACAGATTCTAAAGATTTTTTTGTGTGGAGAAATTATATGCTATGATTTCCCAACTCTGTTAATCATTTTTTTTATCCTGCACGTATAGGTACTTTCACAAAATAAAGACAATTTAATTGGATGTATAAACCATTTTCTCATTAAAAGAAAAATTCTGAAATCAATATCAATATCAATATAAAAATATCTTTAATTTCTAGATAAACAGAAAATGTTTTTATTTAGCTTTTGATTATTTTGTAATTATTATCGTTTAAAAACGATATGACATTTATCTAATATATTGTCAATAAAATCACATATGGCTAACCGGGAAAACACAAACCGAAAACCGCAAACTAATAATTTACACTTAAAAGAATTGTTCTAAAGCAATTTTAAAAATGAATTTTACTAATTTTGACTACTGGCTGGAAAACTGTTCTTAAAAAATCTGGGCAAGTTAAATTGTATTTTCTAACTAGATTTACGGTTGAATCAAGAAGAAGTTATTACATTTTTTAACAAAATACATTAATTTTAAACAAGTTTAGTGAAGTGCTCAAAAACGTACACTCAGAAAAAAAATCGCCCTGAATTTTAGAAAATCGCCATACTTTTTAAGCCAAAGGCAGCTCGCCTTGCCTTTTAGAAAAAATATTTCTAAAAATTAGAAAAAAAATTTCTTAAATTTAGGGTTAGTTTTTGCAAAATTGAATAAGAAGAAGAAAAAAAAAATCGAGGAATCGGGAGTTATGCCGACTGGGTGGAGTCTGTCGGTGTGGGGTGTTGTTGTTGGGGTTCTCGTTTTTCAACTTATTTTTCTCTCCTCTATTTAAACACATGGATGACGTCACGATGCTTGTACACAAACACACTTTTAATCTTTAATTGTAACTGAAATAATAACTGAAATTATTATATTATTTATTAATGATAAACATAAAAATCAAATAACTTACTATATTGAGGAAAACATTTTGGTCGCTCGCGGGATTCGAACCCCTTACCTCACAGTTTGCAGTCAAACACTCTACTAGCTGCGCCAGGGAAGCATCACGAGAGGCGCTGTACAAAGTACATTCTCATTCTGTTCTCTTGGGTTCTAGGTTTATACTCCTATTTATCCATTATGTGTGTGTTAGCTTACCTAAATCCTTATTTGTATTAAAGTATACATTTTAATGCGCAAAAAAAAAAAAAAAAAAAGACGCAAAAAATGTCCGCCTCGACGTGGGATCGAACACACGCTTCCGAATATAAGCGTAGAAAACAAATAATCCGCTCGCATTAGACCCCTAGGCTACCGATTGGGCCAATTTTCTAAAATGTAAGGCGATTTTTTCTTAGTTTGAAAGAAAAATTTCTGAATAACAGAAAATTTTTCTAAAAGTGGATAACAAGAGGAGTTGATCTAATCAGGGTAAGTTTTTCTTATTATTTAGAAAAATATTTCTGAAAAATAGAAATATTTTCTGAATTTCAAGGCGATTTTCAAAGTATGGCAATTTTCTAAAATTTAGGGCGATTTTTTTTCTGAGTGTAGAGTGTATACACTGCTAGAGGGTATATTATTTAAAAAAAAAAATTAGATAACTTTATTTGAACTTTTTTATCTTGTAGTATAATGAATCCAGCAAGTGTATTCTAGCTTCGTTCTATATATAGAACATGTATGTTACCTTTGGTTTTGGGATGTAGCGTATAAAAGGCAATAAGGCCTTTGAATTGCAATCAATTGTGAGAAAGAGCCTTAAGCAAGATGGGTCCCGAGTTCCTTCTTAATCTGATTAGACGAAAGCCCAATGATGTCCTGGGGAAGCCAAAGAATGTGTATCCTACAAACGAAGACTTTTTGAGGCTGCCATTGCTTTACTACTACACAGTTGGTCTGGCTCCTTTCAAGTTGGCTAGTAGCGAAAAGAAGCCGGGAATCATTTTCCAAATATACTTTGCCCTGCACATGTTTAACCTGGCACTCGTGCTTTCCATGCAGATTCAGTTTGTAGTAGTGTCTTACCAAAACAAGGAGAACTTCGTGGAGTCCTGTATGGAAATGAGTTACATTGGGTTCATAGTCGCGGGAGTTTTGAAGTTTTTCCCTGCGATATTTCAAAAGCGAAAAATGGCAAACCTAGTGGAGACACTACACTCTTTTTTTCCACCACCCCGAGAAAAGGAGCAGGAGAAATATGCCGTAAGTCATTACCTGAAGCGCTGCCACCTCATCACCAAGGGATTCGGAGGTCTCTACACGGCTGTTATAGTGACCAACAGCATGTTCTTCCTCATCCAGTACACAGTATTGAAGCTTATGCACTCACCGAGTGCCGAACAATCGTTGCCCTTCGTTGAGTTGGCTCCCTGGGATTATAACGCCGGATGGAAATTTTACTTGACCTATATGTCGCAGGCCATCGCGGGCTACACGGCCACCTGTGGTCACATCTCAGCAGATCTCATGGTCTTCTCCGTGACCATGCAGGCCATCATGCATTTTGACCGCTTGTCACGGGCTCTCACGGAGTTTCAGGTGCAGGCAAGATCAGGTGTTGTGGGAGGAGCCGAGAAGGACCTCAAGGAACTGCAGTCAATGATCGCTTACCACAATCAAATACTCGGGTAAAACTTCTCAAGATTTGATTTATTGTTTTTTTTTTTGTTTTTAGGTACCCATAATAAATATTATTTCTAATATATTTTTACAGGCTCACCGACGTGATGAACGAGGTATTCGGAATTCCACTTTTGGTGAACTTTGCAGCTTCCTCGATGCTCGTATGTTTTGTGGGACTGCAAATGATCGTTAGCATAAGTGCCTTGCAGTTTGGCAAGCTTATTTTGAGTTTGGTTACACCGACTGCCGAGATATACCTACCTACCTACTAGGCGACAACATTTGTTAATGTCTCCATTGAAACCATGAGCATCGTGAGTTTCCTAGGACTTGATAATTTTTATTTGAATTACTATTTGTGTTTTTCTTTGCAGTACTTGAAACTGACCTATAAGTTCTTTTGCGCAATTAGAACAATGTACCAGTAAATGGATGATACTCATAGCATGTTTTTTTTTTTACCATGGTCTTAAATTTCTTCCAGAAATCAATGGGTGAATTTAGTAAAAGTCTATAAAAAAAAATTGGTAATTATTTGTATGACTTATATAACTTGGTATTTTTAAAGAATAAAACTGCAATAAGAAAGATATATAACATTTATAAACTTTAATATATCACGTTATTGTTGTGCCAATAAACCCACAGATGGCCAACCGCAAGTTATTTCCAAAGGAAATAGCCTTACGCCCTTCGATTTTTCAAGTGCCGAAAAGAATCCGGGAATTCCGTTCCATATACACTTTGTCCTTCACATGGCCTTTGAGGTTGCAATGTATATTCTGTTTGTTGCAGTGCCGAGATTTATTTAATCTTATATCTAATTTGCAAAAAAGACTAAGTAAATTTGTATTTATAGAAAATAATAATTCTCTTGCTTGTTAGATATTTATGGCCAAAAGCTTGTATGTAAGTCAGTCTTGCGCGAAAAAGTGACTCACAAATGAATGACAATTAAAGGCTATTATAGGTACACGGGCATAAACATTTTGGTAAATAAATAATAAAAGTACCTAATAAATAGGTTCTTAACAACAAGTATATTAATAAGACAAATATAAAATATGATTAAAAAAACAAATTTAAATGATGTTATTATTAAGTAAAAAAGTTTTTTTAGGTAAGGTTCGGAGTGTACCTATATTTATCTATAATCTTTAAATTCCTTTTCGCTCAGTGTATGTATGAAATTTGAATGAAGAATTGCAAGGTCTATATAAGCCCGTTCACTTTTCTCTTTGCACAAAGTTGGCATTCGAAATTCGTGTCGCATCCAATATGGGTGTTAAGCTGTTTAGAAAGGCCAAAGCCACAAAGCCAAAGCCTGTGTGAACGATTTTTTAGGGCTGCCGGTGATATACTACAACACCGTTGGATTGGAGCCCTACGAGTCCTCGGATCCCGAAAAGAAACGTGGAATCCTGTTCCACGTCTATTTCGCATTACAGATAATCAACTTGAACTTTGGTCTTTCCATGGAGATCCTTTTCGTTGTTGTTTCGTTTCAAAACAATGAGAACTTCCTGGAATCCTGCCTGGTGATGAGTTATATGTTATTTGTTGTCGTTGGAGGCTTGAAGTTCACCTCGGTGATATTTCGGAAAAAAAAGATGACTAATCTGGTGAGACAGCTTGAGTCCTTCTTTCCGGAACCAAAGGATCAGGAGGAGTATGCGGTGGGGTATTATTTAAAGCGCTGCCATCGCTACACCAAGGGATTTGGCGGACTCTATATGACCCTGATGGTGACCTACAACCTCTTTGCCCTCGCCCAGTATACCATTCTGAATCTGCTGAACTCACCGAACGCCAAGCAGTCGCTGCCCTACGTTAACATGGCCCCCTGGGACTACCAGGCCAACTGGAGATTTTACTTGACCTACCTTTCCCAATCGGTGGCGGGGTATGTGGCCACGTGCGGCCATATTTCCGCGGATCTCATGATCTTCGCGGTGGCCATGCAGGTTATTATGCACTTCAACCGACTGACTCGGGCTCTCAAGGAATTTCAGGTGCAGGACTGTTCAGGATGGAAGGAAAGAGCTGACGAGGACCTTAAGAAGCTGCGGTCTCTGATTTCTTATCACAACAAAGTTCTTGGGTTAAGATCTATAAAAAATGTCAGAGAATTAATAATCGATTTATTATAATTATGTTATTTTTATACCCTTGCAAAGGTAATTATGATTTTAATCAGAAATTTTCCAAGCAACGAAGTATACATTTCCAATCTTATAATTTGTATTAGCATCAGCCATGTCCGTCTGTCTGTCCCAGCTACTATATCATTTAGAAACGACAAAAGAATTAGTGGGAAAATAAAAGACAAATAGCTCCGTTATTTTAGATTACTTTTAGTATTTTAAAACTACTATGCCATGGAAACGATTTGCAAGGGTAAATAAACTTCGGTTTTCCGAAATTAGTTCCTTTCTTATTTTTTTTTACCCAGACATTAATTTATTAAATCCGTTAAAACCAATATAGGATCACCGATGTGATGAACGAGGTCTTTGGCATTCCACTTCTTCTGAATTTTGCGGCATCCTCGATGCTCGTTTGCTTTGTGGGATTTCGGATGACCGTCAGCATCAGTCCCGAGGTCTTTGCTAAATTAATGTTGATCATGATTTCGGCCACGGTGGAGATATACCTGATCTGCTCATTTAGTCAAATGCTGATCGATGCGGTTTGTTCGCAATCAGTCTGCGTGGTATTGTTTCTATTTATATTTACAATATTTTTTCAGAGTGAAAGCGTTTCGTTTGCAGTCTACGACATGAATTGGACGCATGCAGATCTACGTTTTCGAAAAATGCTTATTTTTATTGCCCTCAGGGTCAAAGACCGGTATGCCTAAAAGCAACCGTTTTTGTTGACGTTTCTATAGAAACCATGAGTTCCGTAAGTTCTTCTGGATTTATTTTGTTACTTAAAACTACATCTTTTTAATTTACCTGCAGTTTTTGCAAACGTCGTATAAATTCTTCTGTGCCATGCGAACGATGTACCAGTAAATGTACTAATTTTTAAAAGAAACATTTTAAATAAATGATTCAATACAGTATAAACTTGTAAAATGTTTGTTTATTTCCTTTGGGATAAATAGGTTCAAAAAAGTTCCCTTCTACCTGGTACAAGCTTTCCAACAAACTCAATATATCTTTATACTCTAGGAGTAAAGGGTATAAATATGTAACACACAATATTTAAAAAAATTGTAAACAGTAATTTTTAATAAAGATACCCATAATAATAAAAAATTGATTTTTAAATTTTAAATGATTAACATTTTTTTTTAATTTTTGCTCAAATTTAAAAGCGATTTGGCAAAGGATCCTGAGTAAAATTTAAATTAATTTACAGAAAGCGAAAAGATGAATACCATTGCTTGTAAGATATTTATGACTTGTGCGAAAATGTGACACGACTGGGAAAAACCACAAACTGAAAGACAGGGCAATTACAAGAACACTAAATGCTTGCTGAGCCTATATAAGCCCGTTCACTCTTCACGTTGAACAAAGTCTAAAATCGAATCGCATCCGAGATGGGTATTAAGCTGTTTAGGAAGGCCAAAACCATCGAGAAGCCAAAGGCAGTGTATCCTGCGGTGAAGGATTTTTTAAGGTTGCCGGTGATCTACTACAACACCGTAGGCCTGGAACCCTACGAGTCCTCGAATACCGAAAAGAAAAGGGGCATCCTGTTCCACATGTATTTCGCGCTACAGATATTCAACTTGACCTTTGTTCTTGCTATGGAGATACTTTTTGTGGTAGTTTCGTTCCGAAACAACGAGAATTTCCTGGACTCCTGCATGGTTATGAGTTATATTGGTTTTGTTATCGTTGGCGGCTTGAAGTTCATTTCGGTGCTATTCCGCAAAACGAAGATGTCTAATCTGGTGAGACAGCTTGAGACCTTCTTCCCGGAGCCAAAGGATCATGAGGAGTATGCGGTGGGGTACTATTTAAAGCACTGCCATCGCTACACCAAGGGCTTTGGTGGACTCTATACGACCCTGGTGGTGACCTACAATCTATTTGCCCTCACCCAGTACACCCTTCTCTATCTGCTGCACTCGCCGAATGCCAAGCAAACCCTGCCCTACGTGGACATGGCCCTTTGGGACTACGAGGTCAACTGGAGATTTTACCTGACTTACCTTTCCCAGTCGATGGCGGGTTATATGGCCACGTGCGGCCATATTTCCGGTGATCTCATGATCTTCGCGGTGGCCATGCAGGTCATTATGCACTTCAACAGGCTGGCTCGCGCTCTCAAGAAATTTCAGGTGAAAGCCAGTTCGGAATCCAATGAGGGAGCTGATAAGGACCTCAAGGAACTGCAGTCTCTGATTTCTTATCACAACGAAGTACTTGGGTTAATAATTTTTTTTACTAACATATTTTATATTTTATCTAAAATCTGTATCACCCCCACATAGATCGACAAAGCATTTTAAAGGCTTTATATTATAAGTGGACAAAATTATTATTTATTAAAAATTCTTTTAAACCTACATATATATACAGGCTAACCGATGTGATGAACGAGGTCTTTGGTATTCCGCTTCTACTGAATTTCGCGGCATCCTCGATGCTCGTTTGCTTCGTGGGATTCCAGATGACCGTCGGCATCAGTCCCGAGCAGATTGCCAAGCTGATGTTGATCTTTTTTTCGGCCATGGTGGAGATATATCTGATCTGCTCATTTAGTCAAATGCTAATCGATGCGGTTCGTTGATTCTCAGTGGGTCTTCTATTGGGCGATCGCATTTACCATATATTTTTAGAGTGAAAGTGTTTCGTTTGCTGTCTACGACATGAATTGGATGCAAGCAGATTCGCGTTTTCGAAAAATGCTTATTTTTCTTGCCTTGAGGGCCCAAAGACCGGTATGCCTAAAGGCAACAGTTTTCCTAGACGTTTCTATCCAAACCATGAGTTCTGTAAGTTCTTCTGGATACTTTCTATTGAATTACAATAAATTTTTAATTTTTTTGCAGTTTTTGCAAACGTCTTATAAATTCTTTTGCGCCATTCGAACGATGTATCAGTAAATTTCTAAGAACATTTTATTTGCTAGCTAATTTGATTTTAAAACACACTGTAAGACAGACTAGTGTTTTTTTAAATTAAAAAAGGTCTCACTTTACACTAAGTAGAAAAGTCACAAAAACAAACTTAAAATTTAATAAAAAAATAATCTAGTATAAAATGTGAAATTGTTTTTTATTTTAAGCAAATACGGTTTTTGGATAAATTTGAGGATCTGGAACTTAATGCGTTAAACTATTAAAATTACTTTCGCTAATAAGGGAAGCTAACTTATCCATCCCGCGTTCTATGCCTAAACTTACATATTTATAAAAAAAGGAAGTTGCTAATAAATTCCAATAATTTTTCCATTATTTTGCTATTGTTCGCATTATACAAATCATGAAAATCAAATAAATTATCCGTATTTTGTATTTCTGATAAGTTATATATAAGTTTTGTTAGCTTATAAAATCAATATTACCGCGTAAAACCACACATGACTAACCACAAATGTTTTCTTCGGGAACACAACAAGCTGTATAAAAAGGCATTAATTTGGGCATACACTTAAAAAAACGTTGTTATTAACAAGGTAAATTATTTTAACATTTTATTTTTGGACAATAATTTATTTTTATAACTGCAATAATGAAAGGGAAAGAAATAAAATAAATAGCATCTTAAAAGGATTTATAAATCAAGGAAATATGATATTTTATAGCTATTTTCAGACGCTAAGTATTTTTTCTGGTGAAATCCAGAAAAGGCTAGAACACTTGCACACATATGCAAACACAAATATACACACAAAGACGAGGGCAAAAAGAAGGCGTGACACGGTCGAAAAACTTGAGCCACGTTGAACTTTGGCCTTACCTTGGCCGTAAACTTGTCCCGGCGACTGGCTGGCAATTAGTGCACCTTTCATAGGGCAACTGTGGACCAGCGAAGCGATGAGAAAGGGCTTGGTAAGTATATGTATTTATTTTACAAGGTTAAAATTATAGAAACTATACATTTTATTAATTTGTTAATATTATTAATTTTGATATTTACATGAGAATGAATTACTGTTGTTTTATATCGAATTATTTATTTGAGAAATATAGTCAAATAAAACTTACACTGTAAAATAAATATTATTTTTTAGTTAGTAAATACATTATATATTTTATCCCTAGAAATGGTAAGATTTTTTTCATCTGCAGTTTCGAAATGTATATTTTTGCTTACCTAGCTGAAATTAGTATCTTTTCCCGTCACTTCTATTACGCCCCCAAGAGTGTGTGAGTATATGTGCGTGGGCGTGGCCATTTAATTCATTTTCAGGAGCAACAGAAGCAGGAAGCAGCGAACACTGTCGCTTTTGCACACAATTTCTCATTCAGTTCAGAAGTTTCGCTCGCTCACAAGTTTGTAATTCTTGGCCTGTTAACAAAGTTCATAAATACTTGAGAAACTTGGTTGGGTTTACCCGGCCCAAGGCCATAGAGCCAAAGGATAAGCGGAGGAGCCTGATTTCGCCGGGCCGTAATTGGTATTGTACTTGATTCATGTTCACAGGTGAGAACAGGTGGGATTGCAGTTCATTATCAGTTGATTGGCGGGATGAGTGACCCTTGGAATTTCAAGGGAATCGTTAAATTCTTCGGATATTCGCCATTTCGTTCAATTTTATTGCCAACTAACTACCAGTTTTAATGGCTGGCAACTATTTGGTAAGTGCCTTGGCCATAAAATCGAATCGGGCATATTGAATACTTAGTTATATATTGCTCGCCGTCCGGAGAACAATTCCGAACACCTCATCCCGCCATCAAACGATTTTCCCTCATCGGCAGTCAGAAGCACAGCAATTGAAATTGAAAAGCGTGGAGGAAAAGTCGGGAGGGGGAGGGGGATAACCAAACCCACCGTTTGCCAATATCAATGAGATCTCCGGAACCCGGACTCAATTCGCTTTGTTGCTCACTTTTCCCCGTCTCTTTCTGCCCCGCCTGCGCCGTCTCTTTCTTTCTCTTCCCTCCAGCGAGCATTTGAAATTTTAATTATAAAATATTGCTGGCAAAAGTTCTCAGGTCGGCAACGCTAGACCGTGCTGATGTGTTGGATGTGTGCTATCAAAGGCGGTAGCTGAGGGTACAGTGAATACTGCACAAAAGAAAACAAAAGTTTACACAATTTTCTTTAGAGCACAACAAGGGCGCCAGAAGGTTGCTTGGGATTATGAAAATATTTTAAAGTTCTAAAGAATTATGGAAAATTTAAATTTGCTCTAAATTTAAAATAAATAAATAATAAATAAATTTAAATTTATTCTAATTTATGGATCTAATGACCTTTTTAATTATTTATAAAATATTATAGGTATTTATTTTCTTGGCTAATACGATAATTAATTAATTGTTAAGAAAATGGTTTATATTTTAAGGGATTTTGCACTAATTACCTTTGGTAATTAATTGTTTATCTCTTGATTATTTGTTTCTATAACACGAATTTCACATTTTATGTAAGAGGTACCCAAGAGGACATCTGGAATCCCGACAAGTGGATTAGGGATGCTTTTAAGCTGTTGGGGCTTTCGGTGACACCCCTGTAGGTCGCTATCCAGGGGATGTCCTCGGCAGTAGTGAGTTCCCAACCCACTGGTAATCACGTTACACACACTGTGTCCATGCGTCCTGTCAGAAGTTCGAGCTGCAGGCATTCCGTCGATGGTTCGTTATCTGGCATTTGGCATGGGGCTAGATCAATGTGGCGCAGGTGAGTGGCGCAGGTGATGCAGTGGCTCTGTGTGGGGGGCTGCCTTTGCACTACTTCAAAAAGTAATTGTTTGCGATTTGGAGAGTGTGGCGTGTGTCGGGAAAACTTGGCCGGGGATTGGGATGCAGTCAGGCAGTCAGGACGGCGAGACTCTTGAGACATTTGAGTGGCCAAATGGGCGGGCGGAGGAGTTGGAGCTGAAGCTGGAATCGAGGCATAACGATGACAGTAAACGAGCTGCAGTTAAAGCTGCCTTGGGCTCTCTATTGCTATAGATGTTCCATCCCCCATCCCATTCCATCCCCTATCTCCATCATTGTCTCTATCTTCCTTTCTCTGTCTCTGGCAGTGACTTTCGCTTTAGGAACGAGTTTATTTGCAGTCGAAATATGTCCCCAGACGGCAACAATAGCAATTAGTTCATTGTCAATAGTTTGCTCGTTGAAAATTTCAGGACTAGAAATGGCAAGGACATCGTCGATGTAAAGGGCATAGCGGTAAGGGGGGGAGGTGGAAAATTTAACTAAATTGTAATCGGAATATGCGCATGCAAATGGCATTAGCCTGAAATGCAAATTACTTTACTGCCATGCCAGTCGCAAAATTCAGGCGAAGGATGCGACAAGGACAACTGCCACTGCCACTGCAATGATGATGATGATGATGATGATGATGATGGGCATGGGGATTTCTGGGGGGAAGGTGAAATAGGATGCACTCAAATTGCCAGCGCTTAAGTGAAGTAAGCTAATTAATTTTGCATTGTGTTCTGACCCTTATGCCACCATTATCACCGCCCCCGCCCCTTCGATTTTCGGGTCTCTTTGGATTGCGAATCCTTTGTGCCCAGGATGTTTACTTTTCATTAATTGAGTTGTGCAAAAGTCGTCCATAATTTCCATGCGCCTGTCGCGCCTGCTGGCCATTAAACAATACGGAATACGGACAACGGAATACGGCAATTTGGAGCAGTTTTCCCAGCACTTTTCCCCCTTTTCACCACCCCCCGGAAAACTCTTCCCATGGCGCCTGCCTGTTAATGACGTCGTTGAGTGGAGTGTCTTGGCGGCAATTGTGCAAACTTTATATTATCATCGCTGACATGGCCCAAAGAGCATTTACCCAAGGAAAATCCTTTTATTTCCGCCGTAATTTTATGTATTCCCACTGGGCGAAGATCGACTTACGAGTACTTTCCCGGACATCGATACGTGATTGCCTCATGCGACGACTATGCCCTTTGGGATGCCGATGGCTTAATGCACAATTATCCACTGGAAACTTGTTAATTTCACATATTGTCTCTCCGTAGTAAAGACAATCGACGGGCCGGAATGTTCGTAATCCAATAATTGCAAAGAGCCTGTTATTGTTTTGGCGTACATGGCTTCATGCAATTTCAATTTCAAGTTCTTGTTTTGCTTAATTACAACTTGTAATTGACTAATTAAGCTGCTTAAATAGTCCAGGCCTTTCAGATTATAGGCATATTATCTTTGTGTGTATTTTTGTTATTATTCTTGTACTTATGAATGTTTTGGTTGAGTAATTGTATTTAATGTTTTTTGTATGAAGTCTAGAAACAAGAATTTAATTTTTATACCGTATATAATTGTTATTAAAATAAAAATAAACATGTATGTTTTTGAATTAATATATGAGATTAAAATAGATTTAATTAAAAATGGTCTTGTTGTAATAAGAAATTATTAAATATTTTTAATTTACAAAAAAATTTGATTTATAATAAATAATAAATAAGTAATTGAATTGAAAAAGGTAAACTAAATAGAAAATTACTTAGTTTTATTTAATTATTATTTTTGTCGATAAATAACATTATAAAACTTTTGTATTAAGCAAATATCATGACAAAAAAAAGATTTGAAATTTGTATGAAAGATAATTTCTTGACTATATTGACTTTACTTATGCTATGTTTATAAAATATCAAATTTCTGACCATCGAAATGAAGACATAGGCTTCGAGATGCAATTTCTGATGTCACTTGGGGCACAGTTACCTGGAGGGTCAACGGGTGAGTTCTGATTTAATTTCTTTTCTCCCCACATATGCCATCCAGCGAATTTCCGCTTCATTACGTTTGCAAACAAGTTCGGTGTGAGTGTGTTCCATATAAAAAGGATCAGAGCAAAGTTAGGGATGCTTTTTTCTTGGATTTTGTTTTTTGCCATTAGATTGGCAAACTAGCAAAAATAGAAGATTGCGGGCTGGCTGAACAGAGAAAAAAGA